CACCTGGACAGGTAACCAGTCTATCACAGGGCTACACTTAGAGACAGACAACCAAGCACACTCACATTCACACCTACGGACAATTTAGAATCACCCAAATGAATGTATTGCATTTATATCAAAAGTCCAATCATTGTACAAGCTGATGCAGTAAATATATGAATACGAAGAATTCAAACTGTGGCATTTCGATTTTCTGGAATTGTATTCTTTAAAAAAAAAAAGTGTTAAAGACACGACTATTAACAGAAACTATATTTCAAGAAGTTCATGCATGCAAAGCATCAGTAAGAATCATTTCTTCATTTCAACTTGGGGATTTACTGCCTGTCATCTGTTCATGCATGCTAATAATCTAAAGAGGAAGGAAGACGTCTCTGGTTAAAAAAAAAAAAAAAAATTCCAATAGTGTAAAAATTATTTTCAAACACCACATCCTGCCCTTTGTGGTACGGAAACAAACCGACGAACTGTATTTCTGATGTTTGACATCCTGCTGATGTGAATCAGTCAAGAAGAGCAGCCATGAGTCTAACAGCAGCAGAGGGTGGATTTGTTCTCTTCCTTCTCTGTGTACCAGGTACTGTACATTTATACTTCAAGGCAGGTACAACACTTTCAGAAGAGTTTATTTTTTTGCAAGTAAATGCAGCTGAGTTGATGTTGTGTAATGTGCTGCAGTTAAAGTCTTTCGGGGAAAGCCACCCTCAGCGTCTTAAATGCTGACAGACAGGACGGTGCTGCTGCTGCATGGTGCCACCTTTAAACAAAAATCAAGGAAGTACTACTTGAGCATTTGCTCAGATTTTAGACTCTACAATTCTACGGTTTCATTTAGCAGACGCTTTTATCCAAAGCGATGTACATCTTAGAGCAGATACGACACAAGCAAGGATCTAGTCAGGAGATAACAATCTGGATAAGAACATAGAACAAATTCAAGTGTGACAGGGCGTTGATGTCAATAGCAGGCTGTGTGGGAGGTAATACGATTTTCTTTCTTTTTCTTTTTTTTTTGTTTGTTTTGTTAGTTTTCAGTCTGTCAAGTGCAAAGGTGTTCAGTGAAGAGCTGGTCTCTGGTCTTTTCTTAAAGACTGAGAGGGAGTCAGCAGATTGAACAAAGTTTCGTGACTCGTTCCACCACCGCGGAACCACAGAGGACAAGAGTCTAGCTATCAACCTTGGCCCTGTTTCGGTGGTTGTATCAGGCGGTTTTTGTTGATCGAGCGTAGTGAGCGGGAGATCGTGTAGATCTGAATGACAGAGATCAGGTAGGAGGGAGCTGTTCTCGTTGTAGTTTTGTAAGCAAGTGTCAGGGTTTTGAATTTGATGCAGGCAGCAACTGGAAGCCAGTGAGACAATCTGAACAGCGGGGTGACATGTGCTGTTTTGTGCTGCTGCATTCTGGATCATTTGCAGAGGTTTGATTGTGGATGCGGGGAGGCCTGCCAGTAAGGAGCTGCAGTAGTCAATGCGTGATATGATGAGAGCTTGTACCAGGAGTTGTGCCGCATGTTCAGACAGGAAAGCTCCGATCTTCCTGATGTTGTACAGGGCGAATCAACGCCACCGAGCAACAGAGGCCACATGAGCCTTGAAGGTTAGTCGGTCTTCAATCATGACGCACAAGTTTCTGGCAGATTTTGTGGGTTTGAGTTGCATTGAATCAAGCTGGATGTTGATTTCTTGTTGTAGAGAGGGACTGGCTGGGATGACAACGTATGACTAGATATCCTCAACTAAAAACTTACAGATCGTCATTAGTTAATAGTAAAATGTAGAGTGGCGCAATTTGATTTTCACTGATTATGATGACATTAGACTGACATGAACTGTTAATATTTAAAAACTACCACCAGTCAAATCCTTAAACAATGACCTTAACCTCAATCTTGAGCACAGCTATAATTTCCTTTTTCTAGATGTTTCAGCATTTAGAATAAATAATAAAATAGGCTTTCCATGCCCTCAGTTTTGTCACTTCTGCACTTGTCACCACAGTTTCCATTCACACTCTGCAGCAGCCTGATAACAGGCTGACACGGAAGGCGACCAAGCAAAGCAGCCTTTATTATGTACCACACCCTTCTCTTATTTAGGTTTGTTTTTTTCCAGTCAAGCATTCAAAGTACTTCAGGAGTCTGTTTACGTTAAACTCTTCACCATTTATTGGTAGTTTTCGCCCCTGCTCTGGAATAAATCAAAAACTGCTTAGAAACTTAATATACAGAGCATATAAGCTAAGATAAGATGAGAT